GATGATGATGATGATGCTGATTATGATGATGATGCTGATGCTGATGCTTATTATTATTCTGATGATGATGGTGATGATGATGATGCTGCTGATGATGATGCTTATGATTAGTCTGATGATGATGATGATGATGATGATGATGATGATGATGATGATGATGATGATGATGATGATGATGATGATGATGATGATGATGATGATGATGATGATGATGATGACTAGGAGGAGGAGGATGAGGCAGGAGCCGAGAACATCGACGACAACGACGACGTCGATCGTACTGGCGCGCGTAAACGGGGGCCCCATGTCGCCGCCATGCTCCGGCCGTGGGCGCTCCTGGGCGTTGCCGCGGTCGCAGGCGCCACGCGTATCCTCGGAAGGCGCCTGCTGTTGCGCCTCGTCCTCCTCGTCCTCCTTCCCCCTTGTCCTTCTCTTTCTTAACTCCCTCTTGCTCCTCTTTCTTCTGCTTCATCAAACTGTGCAACAGCTACACAGTCCGAGTACTACTTTTCCTCCCCGGAAGCGTGCTGACATGACAGTATCCCACTCAGGGTGCCCCACTAGCCACGCAGGTGCGAGGTGGCCACCCAGCCTGTTCCGCAAACGGGTGTGCCACAGATCGCCAGAGCAGTATCTCCTGCCCGCATGGCAGGTTTGCGAAGCCCCCCAGTGGGTCCCCAAGCCGTCGTAGCAAGCATATTGTTGTTATAAACTGGTATGAGGAGACCAGGAATAGCCTGGGCTTCTCACGAGCGGACGATCTGACTTAATCCCCCCAGAGCTCGATTCCGATTCAGATTCCTCCCGCTCCAGTTTCTCACCTACCTCTTCCCCTCACTCTCTTGCTGTCCCGCCTGGGTGTCCAGCTCGCCCTGCTGCTGCTCCCCCACCGCCCCCTCCTCCGTTTTTTTTTGTTGGTTCCCGACCATCCTGCGGTGTTGGGTCTCGTTTTGAAGAGACGGTCCCCGCGTTCACTTCTCCTCCTCCTCCTCCTCCTCCTCCTCCTCCCGCTGCCCCCTCCTCCCCCCTCCTCCCGACCCCCCTCTCAGTTTGGCACACCCCTCATTTGTTTCGTGGCCCCATAGGGAGCTCCACCGAAGACCCCACTTGGAGTGCCCGCGTGCGTCCGCAACACCCAGTGAAGCGCTTCGTGGTCTCATAGGGATCTCCACCGAAGGGCCCAGTGGGTGTGCCCACATGGTTCCGCCACACCCAGTACAGCGTTGCGTGTCCCCAGAGGGAGCTCCACCGAAGGCCCCACTTGGGGTGCCCGCATGCGCCCGCCACACCAAGTACAGCGCTGCGTGTCCCCATAGGGAGCTCCACCGAAGGCCCCACCTGGGGTGCCCGCATGCGTCCGCCGCACCCAGTACAGCGTTGCGTGTCCCCACAGGGAGCTCCACCGAAGGCCCCACTTGGGGTGCCCGCATGCGTCCGCCGCACCCAGTACAGCGCTTCGTGGCCCGATAGGAGGCCCCACCGAAGGCCCCAGTGGGGGTGCCCGCATGCGCCCGTCAAACCCAGTGAAGCGCTTCGTGGCCTCATGGAGAGCTCAACCGAAGGCCCCAGTTGGGGTGCCCACATGCGTCAGCCACACCCAGTACAGCGTGTCGTGGCCCCATGGGGAGCTACACCGAAGGCCACAGTGGGGGTGCCCGCATGCGTCCGCCACACCCAGTACAGCGTGTCGTGGCCCCATGGGGAGCTACACCGAAGGCCCCACTTGGAGTGCCCGCGTGCGTCCGCAACACCTAGCACAGCGCTTCGTGGCCCCATAGGTCCCACCGAAGGCCCCACTTGGGGTGCCCGCATGCGTCCGCCACACCCAGTACAGCGTCGCGTGGCCCCATAAGAAGTTCCACCGAAGGCCCCAGTGGGGGTGCCCGCATGCGCCCGCCACACCCAGTACAGCGCTCCGTGGCCTCATAGGGAGCTCCACCGAAGGCCCCAGTTGGGGTGTCCGCGTGCGTCCGCCACACCCAGTGCAGCGTGTCGTGGCCCCATGGGTAGCTACACCGAAGGCCCCAGTGGGGGTGCTCGCATGCGTCCGCCACACCCAGTACAGCGCTTCGTTGCCTCTTATGAAGCCCTACCGGAGGCCACAGTGGGGGCGCCTGCATGCGTCTGCCACACCCAGTACAGCGTTCCGCGGCCCGATAGCGAGCTCCAGCGAAGGCCCCAGTGGGGGTGACCGCATGCGTCCGCCACACCCCGTACAGCACTTCATGGGCCCATAGGTAGCTCCACTGAAGGTCCCGGGGGGGGGCCGCTTGCGTCCCCCCCACCGAGTGCAGCGTTTCGTGGCCCCATAGGGAGCTTCACCGAGTGTCTCAATTGCGCAGCCTGCATGCGTCTCCCCCACCGAGTTACAGCCGCGCTTCGTGGTCCCCTGGGGAGCACCACCCAAGGTTCCAGTGGCGTAGTCTGCATGCGTTTGCCCCACAGTACAGCGCTGCGTGGCCCTACAAGGAGGCTCCACCGAAGACGATACAACTGCGGTAGTCACAACTGTGTATGGTTGGGTCATTCTCCAGGCAAATTCCTGATCGTCCTGTGGTCTTGGGTCCTCGAAGAGACGGTCCCCGCGTTCACTTCTCCTCCTTCTCCTCCCGCTGCCCCCTCCTCCCCTCCCCCCCTCTTCCCGTCACCCCCCTCGCTGTGGCACACCGGTCACACGTTTCGTGGCCCCATAGGAAGCTCCATCGAAGGCCCCACTGGGGGTGCCCGCATGCGTCCGCCACACCTCCACTAGGGGTGCCCGCATGCATCTGCCACAACCAGTACAGCGTTTCGTCGCCCCATGGGGAGCTCCACCGAAGCCCCAGTGGGGGTGCCCGCATGCGTCCGCCGCACCTAGCACAGCGCTTCGTGGCCCCATGGGGAGCTCCATCGAAGGTTTCAATTGCGCCGCCCGCGTGCGTCCGCAAAACCCAGTACAGCGCTTCGTGGCCCCATGGGGAGCTCCACCGAAGGCCCCACTGGGGGTGCCCGCATGCGCCCGCCACACCCAGTACAGCGTTTCGTGGCCCCATAGGGAGCTCCACCGAAGGCCCCAGTGGGGGTGCCCGCATGCGCCCGCCACGCCCAGTACGCGCTTCGTGGCCCATAGGGAGCTACACCAGATGCCCCAATGCCACCGTCCACACCCGTCCGCCACACCCATGTTGGCACACCCCTCACACGTTTTGTGGTCCCACAGGGAGCTCCACCTAATGCTCCAATGCCACCATCCACATGCGTCCGCCACACCCATTTCGGCTCACCCCGCACACGTTTCGTGGCCCCATGGAGAGCTCCACCCAAAACCCCAGAGCCACGGTCCACATGCGTCCGCCACACCCATGTCAGCACTCCCCTCACACGTTTCGCGGCACCATGGCGAGCTCCACCCAAGGCCCCAGTGCCACCGTCCACGTGCGCCCGCCACACGCATGTCGGCACACCCCTCACACGTTTCGTGGCTCCATAGGGAGCTCCACCCACGGCCCCAGTGCCACCGTCCGCATGCGTTCGCCACACCCATGCCGGCACACCCCTCACACGTTCCGTGGCCCCATGGGGAGCTCCATCGAAGGCCCCAGTGCCAGCGTCCACATGCGTCCGCCACACCCATGTCGTCACACCCCTCACGCGCATCGTGGCCCCATAAGGGGGGCCCACCGAAGGCCACAGTGCCACCGCCACATGCGTCCGCCACACTGATTTTTGCACACCCGTCACATGTATCGTGGCCCCACAGGGAGTTCCACCGAATAAGATATTCACCATTGCGGTCTTTGCAATTGCTTATTGTTGGGTCCCTCGCAAGGGTAAGTTTTCCCAACCATCCAATGGTGTTGGGTCCTCGTTTTGAAGAGGCAGCGCCCCGCGTTCTCACTCCTCCGCATCCCGCTCATCCCTCCTCCCTCCTCCCTCCTCCATCATCATCGTCACCGTCATCATCCACATCATCATGATCGCCATCACCCGTTTCAGCACACCCCTCACGCGGAGGACACACATGGATCATCATCGTCGTCGTCATCTTTATCAACCCATCACCGTCCTCGTCACCATCATCGCCATTACCATCATCGTCATCATCATCATCAACATCATCATCATCATCATTATCATCATCATCATGATCATCATCATCATCATGATGATGATCATCATCATCATCATCATCATCATCATCATCATCATCATCATCATCATCATCATCATCATCATCATCATCATCATCATCATCATCATCATCATCATCATCATCATCATCATCATCATCATCCGTGCAACACCCAGTACATCGCTTCGTGGCCCCATAGGGAGCTCCACTGAAGGCCCCAGTGGGGGTGCCCGCATGCGCCCGCCACACCGAGTACAGCGTGTCGTGGCCCCATGGCACCGAATGCCCCAGTTGCGGTGCCCGCATGCGTCCGCCACACCCACTACAGTGTTTCGTGGCCCCACAGGGAGGTCCACCGAAGGCCGCAGTGGTGGTGCCCGCATGCGTCCGCCACACCGAGTACAGCGTTTCGTGGCCCCATAGGGAGCTCCACCGAAGGCCCCAGTGGGGGTGCCCGCATCGCGTGGCCCCATAAGGAGTTCCACCGAAAGCCCCAGCGGAGGTGGTCGCATGCGCCCGCCACACCCTGTACAGCGTGTCGTGGCCCCATGGGGAGCTCCACCGAAGGCCCCAGTGGGGGTGCCCGCATGCGCCCGCCACGCCCAGTAGAGCGTTTCGTGGCCCCATCGGGAGCTCCACCGAAGGTTGCATTGTCGCAGCCAGCGTGCGTCTTCTCCGCTCATTGCAGCGCTCCGTGGACCCATAGGGAGCTCCACCGAGGGTCCCAGTGGCGCAGTCCGCATGCGTCTCCCCCGCCGGGTGCAGCGTTTCGTGACCCTATATGGGGGCTCCACCGAAGACGATACCTACAACTGCGGTATTCACAACTGCATATGGTTGGGTCCTTCGCCAGGCTAATTATTTGGTTTGTTCTTTTCCTGGTCCTCCA